TTGCCAGCCATGGGAGCAGTCTCCATCTAGGAGCTGGCTGCCAATAGTGGAAGCTCCTGGATATCACAGGCACCCAGCCTCCATTTTGCGATGCAGTTGTTAAATGCTCTTAATATAAAAACTTGATCAGTTCATAATGTTTTCCCAAAAAAATTCATGTTTGGTTTACTTGTCACAAGGTTGTAATTGATTGGTTGAAATAAAACATGAGAGAAGTTTGGAAGCCATTACAGAGTTGCATGTCCATAGAAGCGTAACGGTCGCGTTTAGAATATTATAAATAAAAAATTGTATGATCACTCGTGCATTTCATGATATATGGTCACTCGTGCCCATATATCAGGAAATGCACTCGCGTTCATACAATTTTCTATACATATTTAGCTTCCTTCATTTTATGAAATTGTAATGGGCTACAGTTCTAAATACAGGGCACGAAATTAACAAAATCCTTACGTCGCCATTTGGCAACTAAGTGGCAAAAAATAGTCGCTAAATGTAAATTTTTAGTCGCAAAATCTAATAGAAGAGACACAATCCATAGACATACATGAAGTACTCAATGCTCAAGGGCTTCCAATGCATTATAGGGCGATTTTGCACAGGGATAGCCATTTTGAAGGTTTTGAGAGAGTCGTTTACTTTAGTGTGCCTTAGAATAATCAAACATGACGATCCAGTTGGCAATCAAAGAATCGTGGGTTTGTTTTATTATATCTATTTGTATAAATTGTCTTTAATTTTTTTTTTTTTTTTTTTTTTTGTATTTTGTTTTTATTTGTAAGTTGTGCAATGGACAAGCAAAGAGATACTGTAATGCTAGTTTTACAATTTTACATTAAAAAGGGATATACACACAAAAAAAAAAGAAGAAAAGGGGAGGTAAAGAAGCCTATTACAATGTAAATATAAATAGATCTCTACATCCATCATCACAAAAACATAAACTAAATTAACTGAAGCAAGGTAGAAATTTGTTCCATTTCTTATAATGTTTTACCAATTTATTGCTGTTAGCTGCAATTTTCTGTTCAATCTGGCAAGTTGCTTTAACGTTGGCCATGAAGACCTTTAGAGAAGGATGTATGATATTTAATTTACAGTTATAAATATAATATTTAGCTAATAAAATAATATGGTTTAGGATATGAAAGTCCTCTGCGACATTGAATACACCGAAGATAACATTTTCTAGTGTTAAGGATGTCGAGATTACCTTTTTTCAGAAATCCAGGAACAAAGCAACTGCCAGAAAGATTTTGTTACATTGCAATGAAAGAATAAGTGCTCAGGGGACTCGACTTCTGTTTGAC